ATCATGTAAAGCATTACTTGACATTGGAAATTTGAAAGTTCAAATAGTTTCTATAAATTTGAAAAACAATCCAGYCTTTGATTGTGCGTGCATCTCAAAGATTCAAATCAACGTCCAAAGCTCTTGTCTAATAACTTCAACCTCACGGAAAAGTATTTCAACGCTAAAGCCTTCGAAAAATCCCACAAGAATTGGAACAGAATTCAGCAGAAGTCAACAGTTTTCTAGAGGTAAAACAAACATTATTACTTCAAAGTTCAACAATCATCACACGAAAGAGTTTACAAAGTGGCTTACATCAAGTTCGGTTGGGACATTTCTCTTAGTTTGTTTTATATTTGTTGGTTGTAAATGTAAGCGAATCATCAAAAGAAGAAAAGAACGCCAGATGCATGATTTCACACATTTTGAACTTTAYGACTTGAACGAAGACGGCGAAGAAGAGATTCTATTTACAAGAACTGCTGTTTAAGACTGTGAAACTTTCGCTTGAAACGAATATTTACTGTTACTGTTGTTAGCAAACATATTAACCTTGATTTCTTGTGCTTTTGCTTCTACATTATATCATTTATATGGAAAAGTTTTAACAATATTTGTCACGTAATAGGCTGGGTTTAAAATATAACATGAATTGAATGCYAGTGATAATTTATTCGTTCAATAATGCTAAACAATTCGGAAATTTACCGGATGTTGTTCGGAAACAGCTCGGAAAGTGCTCGGGGTCTCATTTTCTTGAAATCAACATCTKTTCCACCATTTTATCAAACAAACGATCTGGCATCTTTTCCACAGAAACATGAAAACTCCATAGTGCTCGAATGGAAGATATTCGAACACCGCCTTATATTTATATTACTTAGTCACGTGACTCCCACAGTCCCACAAATGCCCACTATATACCCACTATGCCCACAATCCCACAATNTCGTCTTCGGACGAATCCATATCGGAGAGCCCAAGTTCCGCTAAACGGGCATCAACACGAGCAGCGATCTCTGGAAAAGAACGAACATCCACCGCTGTAAGCCGTGCTGTCTTTCGCGTGGGGGGCGGATCCCTCGGACTGTCTGTTTGGCAACAGCCTCTTAAGTATTCCTTTTATATGTAGCCGCTGTTCTTCTGCCTCTGAACTATCTAAAAGGTGTCCAAACTGCATTATCCATGCAATCATGAGGCCCTACAAAGGTTTTACACACTTTTATTAGAATTAACATACATGATTAACATAAAAAAAGATTAAAACGCGATTATGGTTGAAAAGAATCCTTATAGTAATTATTTTCAGATATACCCATACTTAATTGCATACAGCCTTTTGCAAAAATTATGAGAATTGTYGAAATATCTAAATATCATAATATCGAGTGAATGCCGATGGGTAATCCCGCGCGATGCTCTTAGTCCCTTGTCTTTGTAGTTTAGTTTTTATTTGGCGACAGACTTATCCGTAGTTCTGAACATTTTCTCGATGTCAACAATGAATTATTCTAGCAAACCCGCGTGTTCCGGACAATATATGTATATGGATATTATGATATTTAGATATTTAGACAATTCTCATAATTTTTGCAAAAGGCTGTATTAAAAATATGCACTTTATATTAAATTATAATATAAACAAGGTGGTAAATACAAATATGTACAAATAAAATATAATACCATATTTGCTTCCACTAGACCTACTAAATGTTCAGTGATGGCATCATCCATTTCCTGACTGAACTTGTCATCCAGGCAATAAACAATAGGCAAAATTCGTCCATAAGTTCTGTGCATTAATAAAAAACAGGACGTGCAAATTACAACATGATGCTTGCTGTAGTCAGCTGTTATTTCTATATGTTCTAAAACTTAAGTTTTATTTAATTAGTTCATACATTAGTTCATGTACTCTATCATCCAAATTTGTCATGCAAGTTTGCTCATAAACATGAAATGTTYACAATCAATCCATTTATGGGTCATTTATGTTCATCGTTTCTTGTGTGTCAGCTGAATTTGAAAATAATGAGATGACTGAAATAATTCAGCCAGGACACAGCTTTGTGATTATATTATAT